CACAGAACTTGGTTGTAGTGGATTTTCAAGCTTGTGGCCATTTTTGTTTGTCTTTCTTATTTTGGGTTTTTACAGTGTCACATCATCCCAGACAACATGGTGTCATATCAAGCAGCTCTGATGAAATCATTTTTTTTTGTGGGGCTAAGTATCATTCACAGTGGCTTTTGTGTTTAATTTACTAATAGTGATTTTGGGCTGGATTAAGCAATATCCAGTGTCTGCCTTCCCTCCCTCTACCTATCACAGTGGTGAGAAAATGTCAATAGTTTATTGATGGTGTCATATCCTGTCGAAGGGTTGACCAGTGCATTTGCTATAAGCAGCAACCGAGTGGCCAAGCAACCGAGAAAGGAGCTTTTAATTCCATTCAAAGCCCAATTTTTTTTATTTATTAATGTAGAAATGTAAGCACTGTAGCTATTTATCAAATTACTTTATTTACTAGAATAAATATTTAGGGTCATTAAAAGTTTTTTAAATTTGAATTTTCCCCTTATCATAAAAGATTGGTCATGTTTACCTTCCAGTGATTTTTATATTGCTGTACTGCTGTTAGTAGCTATGGGATATGGTTGACAAGCTTTGTAATGTGCATGGCTTTTCTGTAATGTAGCAGACCCTATGTTATTTTATTTTACATAGCTTGTGCAAACTCTGCTGAGAACTTATTTAAAACTTAGAAATTAATTTCAGGAATGCCTTTAATAAGAAATGTAGAGCATCATTTATGTGGTGAACATATCATAATAGCACTGCTTGTTAACAATGGAGATAAAGCTGCCATGGGACTTGCTTGAGGTGTGTAGTGCTTTGAGGGCAGAGATGGAAAAAGTTTTAGTAGTGTAGTTTAGTGTTTACATGCATGTGAAAGAGAATGACTATACTGAGATTACTTGACGCATGGAGACCCAGTTGGATAGCTGGAAAGTAATGATCAGAAGAGTGACTAAATGCACAGTGAAGAAAGCTACTGATACTAGGGTTGTGCACATATGTTTAAATAAATATTTATTTATGATTACAAACAAAAATCATATTGAAATGTTGACCTCTGTACTATGTTCAGTACTCGGTAATATGACTCGAACCGTAATGCTTTTCGTAAAAACTATTTTTTTCATCTATACTCAAAATCGTTAATTTGCAAAGATTTTAATGTCAAAATCAAAGTAATAATCCTTTGTGTAGATTCTTAAGCCCAAAGGAATTAATTTGTACACTTGTCAAGCATCACTCGGCAAGCGGCACATATTGAGTAGGCATGATTGAACCAAGAAATGTGCTGAAGTTTTCTGGAATGCCAGTATGTTAATGAGCCTGCAGGGACTGCTTGAAAGGTTCTCTGTAGCATTGGCACCGAATGTTATCTGCCTTCCTGTTGTGATTCTTGATAAAGAGGTCATAACATATTTTGTCTTAGTTATCAACTAAATGGCACAATTCAGGAAAGGGCCCTTTCTTGTTTATTTAAATATAGATTTTTTTGCTGAGTGACAACATTTTCCACATTGTAAATACAGTAAAAAAAAAATCATAAGGGCAATTTACAGCTAATCTAGGTGTTTCATCATGATTATATTTTTTGACAAATGATGAATTTGAAGATCATACTTGCTAGAATCTCCTTTAAACCCTCCTTCCCCACACAAAGAAAAGTATGAGATCATAGCACAAGTGCCAAAGGGTTAAGACAAAAGATGAGTATAATAGTATTGGATTACTTTCCATTACCTTGGCTGGCCTGTCAAAATACTTCTGGGAAGGCTTCTTTGGTGGCTCCCTGTAGCTAACCATCTGGATAGCTCTACATACATTGTGTCACACCAGGCTTTTGGAAATCGTGAAAGACCTAACAAAGGTAAAAACATTTTCCTTTCACAGGTGCAGAGCACAAGGTACCTTAGATCATCCTAACAAAGAGAAAAGCCATCAGAAAGGTAGAGCGAAACAAAATGGATAACAGTAAGATATAATATAACTAATCCCCGAGAGGGGAAGGGGGGGGGGGAGTCCTGGACCATCCCGTGCTGGCTACCCAGCATTCCAGTTCGTTAACTAATGTGGTCCGGAGCGGACATCTTCTCTGGCCTCGATTTCCAAGGCGGTGTTTTGCCTTCGTGGCGACCTCTGCAGTGTTGTTTGTGGTGGCCAGGTGTTCCTCATCAGTGCCAGGCTGCATGTGTTTAGGGGCTTCTTTCCTAGGCATCCTGTGAGTACTGCCCTTGCGTGTTAAGGGTTCCTTTCCCTTGTGCATTCGGGATAACCATTTCTGTAGGGGTTTTTGGTGCTCGGTATTTACCTTGGGGCCAGCTGGCCCTTGGGGCCAGCTGTGGTTTCGTGGCCTTTATTTGACTATGGGTAGGGAGTGGTATGGTGTTGGTTGGGGCATCAAGGTGGTGTGCAGCCTGCCTACCTACTTGGCGGGCGGTTCTTGTTTCTTCTGGGGACGTTGTACTTTCACTGGGTTTTTCTTTTCTTTTGTTTTCTTGCCTGGTGTGGCTATCGTCCTCCTTTAATAATAATAATTTGGTGGCCCTCTGCTACCCCCCCTGTGATTGTACATGTCACAGGGGTTTCAGTGTTTTGATCTCCCCCTTGTTAGCGTTGGGTCTTAACCGGTTAGCAACACCTTGCCCAGACTTTCCATAGCAGTCAGCCTATGGGGCCCTGGAAAACCTTGTCGAGGCTCGGTGGACCTATGGATGCGTCTTCCGAGATCCAGCCCACCTCGTGTGGGTTCAAAGGTTGCTGTGTGCCCTTGTCTCACGGTGACAAGGGCACACCTCTTTTGCCTCAGTCATGCTGCCTGTTGGGTCAACGACACCTTTGACCTGGAGTCTTGCGAGTCATGTTCTCTGCTTGTTCTCGAGTACCATTCTGATGACATTACTGTTTGGGTACAGGTAGCATCCGCATTGCATGCTAGGTTTAGGTTGCTGCAATGCTCTAGGTTGGTTTTCCACCTGAATGCCCCGTGGCTGCCCCGCTTTGGTTATAGGGACCCGGACCTGGAGGCGTTAGTCGCTTCGACTTTTGTTCAGTCCGCGCTCCCTGGTCCTTTCCCTGTTGTTCATCCTTCACCTTTACCCTGCTTCTGGCTCCCAAACGTCTGAGGGTTTCGGATGTTTGAACTCCCTTTGATCCCGCTTGGGTGTTAGTGCCCTCTTCATGGGCTTGTTGTTGCAGGGGAAGGGGTTTTCTTATCCCCCTTCCCTGTATGAGTATGATTTGAGTTTGGCTCCTCCCCGGATTCGGTTCCGGGCTCCCTTGTGTTCCTCAGCCCGTCCTTCCTGAGGTTTTCTGCCTCTCGTATCTTCCCTAGGGTAGTTTGGGAGGCTCTTGCTGTATACCACCTGCGAGACCCCAGACTCGCCTTCGTGATGGATTCGTCCTTGTTTGAGTTCGGTTCTTCATCCTTGTATTGGGTGCGTTTGGAGGTTCCGGAGTCTTCCAGGCTGGTAGACTGCCCGTTTTTTCTTTGGGGGCGTGGTATGGGTTCTGTCGGTCCCGCACGCTTGAGTTGCGAGAAACATCTACCGTTCTGCAGGTTTACCTGGGCGAGTTTGAGCACTTTAATGCATGCTTGTTCGCCCCCTGTCCTTTCTCTAGATGTTGGCTTTGTGCAGCTGCACATGCAGGTTCCTACCGTTTCGGCATCCTTGGCTGCTGAGGATTTGCGCGCTCGTGGGCATTTGACTTCAGTCTTGCCCACCTTTTCTCTTCTCAAGCTGTCTTCAGCCTGGCTTGAGGAGGATGTAGAAGCGTTGAGTGCCAGGCCTTGGTTTGGTGTGCTGTCCTTGGCGTCTCGAGCATCGGCATAGATTTTCATCGCCGTTTAGTCTGTTGCTGTTTGCGGAGTCTGTTGTCATGCAGTTTCTGCGGGCAGCTTCATCTAGTAATGTCCTATGTCGGACTTGTTGGTTCTCTGGGGTGGCTGTTCTTGGCCTTCTCGGAAGGGTCGTGCCAGGGCACGGGGCTCCGCTGATCAAGGTGGGCCATTGGTGCTAGCTTCTGCGCCGACATTGCCTTCGAAGCTGCTGTCATCTGGTCGGCGCGATGATGATTGCTCTGTTCGTCAATCAGCTTCTTGTAAGGGATGTCAGCCCTTTCGCAGTTTGCCCCATTGATGGGGCGATGAGGCTCGCTCTGTTTGCTGGAAGGAGCTGAGGAGAGTATTAGTTACATATTATACATATATAAAAATACATACTGTATATACATAAAATATATAAATAGATAAACGAGAGCGATAAACTGTACCCCACTTATCTGGAAATGTTATGCGAGGTATTTCATAGTAGTGAATATATGGTAAATTTGTACATGGATATTCAATATGCGTGTGTGTGTGTGTGTGTGCATGTACTATTTGAGTCAGCAGAATCCAGATTTTTAGCTCTTTGACTCCACCTTTCTTACCAATCTATTTTCCTCTATTATATCCATTACATATATTTCTCTGTAGCACATGCGTGCACACACTCATCCCTAAAAAGCAGCCCGTACCAGCTGTCTAACTCCCAGGTACCTATTTATTGTTGGCAAACAGGGGCATCAGAGTGAAATATACTCTGCCCATTTGTTTCCGCCTCCGCCAGAAATCGAACCCGGGCTATTAGGACTACGACCCCTGAGCGCTATTCACTCAGCCGAGAGCCTCTCAAGTGTGTGTGTGTGTACTGGTATGCTGCGAGATATTGGTCAGATACTTACTAGTAGGTATAAATTTTCTTTTCCCAAGTGGAAAGATGAGCATATCCTTCAGAAGAGATAATGTAAATGATTGCATATTTTTGTCGACTTATTCCTTCAGCTTTAGATGAAATAAGTTTCTTCAAGATAAGTTCTGCAGTATTTGCTTGTTCATTAGCCTGACTGCAGGTATGTAATGTCCCAAGTCCTGTTTTTCACACACTTCTCTTTTCTTCCCTCTTGCAGTGCTGTGTGGTTTTTGCTTTGCAAATTAGTTAATATCCATATCCTGGTACTCTTTACAGTGGGTTTCCCTAGGGATGTTCCGCTGCGACTACTTCTACAGTGTGCCTTCTCAAAGTGCCCTACAGGTTGAGATAAACACAATTGCCTCAAGCTTTGCTGCCCTCTCTGCAAGAATTGTGTTAATGCATAGGTAGGGAGGCAGTACTGTATGTCGATTATCCGAAGAGTCACATTTGATACTTGTCCAAAAAATTATGATGTTAGTGGTAGACGAGAAAACTAGACCAAGAATGTTTTATGTACAAATATTTTAAACTAAATATTATTCCATGTTAGGAATTCATCTACAGGAATTTTTATGGGAATTACAAAAAAGGTTTCTTTTACTGCCTGAGCACATTTTAAAAGTGCAAATAATAATAATGTAAGTTTGGATTTAAGGATTTATCCTTCTAATTCTACTTTATTGGTACATTTATTCTATCATTTACCTTTTACTGTATTGATTCAGTCTTAAATGCTAAATTAAAAATACAAATTATGAATGTTTTCTATATAATTTATGGAATTATCATGTACAGTACTTTCATCAATATGGATAAAATTCAGTGGGATGGAACTATTTACCTCTAAATATTAAATTTTATATAACTGATAAATGTTTGCACTCTGTATTTTGTTTTAGGTTCAGATTTGTTGAAATAAGAATTTGCTCTGTTCATTCAATACAACTAGTACATTTTAGCACAAAGTCCAAACCTCGATATTTTCTAACCATATGTCTTACCCCTAATGCAGTACTATATTAACCATTATTAATAATTTTTAATGCACTTTTTCATGTTTCTTTTGTTTGTTCGCTGTTAATTTCGCATCTATTAATATTTTTTTAACGTATACCTCCTCTTCTAGATCTTTTTGTTTGTGTACAGTTAAACCCCCTTCCCTGTCCCCTCCCACCTTAGCCACAGACAGGAAAGTGAAATTGGGAGTCGGTGGAAATCTGTGATTGGTGAAATCTTTGGTGATTTATCTACAGGATATTTTAATGTGTTGAGAATCAATAAATCTCATAATTGCGGCCTGCAGTGTTTAATGTAGCAGAATAAATACTTCATAGCAAAGTGCCTAAACATATTTGGAGAGAGAATAACGGTTTGAGAAAGCATCATGTGGATATAGTTGTTGGAATAAACAGTGATGTTTATAATAAGCAGTTTGGTAATAAGGTTGTAGATAACTTACTGGGCAATATATTAGGCGTGTGATTGCTGGATTATTTCAAATAATAGGGTTAGGGGAAATTTATATGAGTGAGTTTGGTTGGGTATAAATGGGAGCTTCCTCGCATGGACGAATAGACCTGCAATTTTCTTTTTTCTCTTGTTTGAATTCTGAAAAGTTTCTTTTCATTGTTTTGTTTAGGTGTTAAAAAATGAATTTCTCTAACTTTTTCTTTTGTCTTTTCACACAAATTTAGGGTTTTGCACTTTGTAACATCTTACTGATAAAAGGAATTGGGTGACTTAACCCTTGTACAGTTCCAATCACTATCTGCAAATTTCCTCCTGTGCTCAAATTGCTATATGTGGTTGATCCTTATAGGTTTTCAATACTTTTATTTTCCATACACACCTGGATGTAGGAATTTTATATAGCTTAACAGCTTAAGGGTTAATATGTGGCACATAGCCTTTCAAACTTTTTTTTTACCTGTATGTGCCAGACAGTCTGCATGTTTATATATTTGTGTAATTATCCAAGTGTAGTTACAGAATGAGAGCTACGCTTGTGGTGTCCCATCTTCCCAGTCTTTGTCATATAATGTTTTGAAATTACTGACGGTTTTGGCCTCTACCACCTTCTCGCCTAGTTTGTTCCAACTGTCTACCACTCGTGTTTGTGAAAGTAAATTTTCTTGTATTTCTTCGGCAGCTTTGTTTAGTTAGTTTAAATTTGACCTCATGTTCTTGAAGTTCCAGGTCTCAGGAATTCTTCCCTATCAATTTTATCGATTCCTGTTACTATTTTTTATTTTTATGTAGTGATCATATTGCCTATTTTTCTTCTATCTTCTAGTTTTGGCATGTTTAATGCCGCTAACCTTTTCTCTTAGCTCTTGTCCCTCAGTTCTGGGATCCATTTAGTTGCATGTCTTTGCACCTTTTTCAGTTTGTTGATTGTGTTTCTTAAGATATAGGCACCATACAACCGCTGCATATTCCAGCTTTGGTCTAATAAGTCATGAACAGTTTTAGTATTTCACCATCCATGTATTTAAAAGCAATTCTGAAGTTTGAAAGTGTAGCATAGGCTCCTCGCATGATGTTCTTTATGTGTTCCTCAGGTGATCGTTTCCTATCTAGAACCACCCCTAGATCTCTTTCTTTATCAGAATTCTTTAAAGATTTTTCACATAATTTACATTTATGTGTGGGTATATGTACCTGTGTGTCTGCATGTGTGGGGGAAAGGGAGGGTAATAATGATAGATATTGATGTTTTTCCTCTTAGTATTTTGTGAAACCAGTCGAGGATATACTCTTGATTTTATTCACTCAACAGATTGTTCCAAAAAAATCATAACTTTTCACTCACATGCAAATTACACCTTCCTCAACTGAAACTTTACATTTTGATTGTTGCTGTTACAGTAATTAACTAAGGCAGTAAGGAACGCAGAATATTTTTTTTGCAAAATGTTTCTGGGAGAGTATTGATCACTCTGGTTATTGTAAAGGGAAAAATGGTTTATTAATAAATTAACAGTACTGTAACTTAAATTAGTGGTAGCAATTAAAATATTTCCTACCCAAAATTTGCTGTCAGAGCAAAATGTTAGCCTCATAAATTTGTGTATTTTAAAAACATTTTCAGTTTAGTATTATTTGGTCCTAGTTGGAAATGTTGTATTTTGTGTAAGGGAGGGCTCTTGATTGTTTATGCATTTACAAGTCAACCAAATTGTAATTGAATTTTAAACCACCATATTTGCAGGTAGGAAGTATATGGTACAGTATTGCTCTTAATATCTGTTGCCATTGCAGGTGAGGAGTCACAATAATGTGGCTGAAATATGTTGACCAAACCACACACTAGAAACACATTCGACTTGAGAATGGTCCAGAATGGACCGAAACATCGCCCTCCTTTCACTTTCTAGTGTGTAGTTTGGTCGACATCTGTTGCCATTAAATTTGAACAATTGATTTGCCATAACCAGAGTAAATATTGTAGCGCGTACTGTAGTTTTAAACACAAATCAATCTTATTAGGGGTGTTCTGTATTTCTTAAATGAATATTGCAGAATATCACCTATTGTCTGACATGGTATTGCTTATCTTTGACTTCATCTTCCCTCTGGTTGTTTGTTACATTGAATTTATTCCACAGTACTCTAGCTGCGTCTGTGACCCAAGAGCATATATTCTTATTAGTGCATGGTCTTGTGATTTACAAAATTATTTAAGATGTAGTGCTTAATGAAAATCCTGGTTGAAGTTAAATAATGTCTGATTATAGTTTTGTACATTTTATTATATACTGTATAATGGTATTTTCTTGTAGTTTTATTATTAAAAGGAATCTGTTTGTGTAAACCTCTTTTGGATGATTGTTTCAAGTTTGTCTTCAAGGAAATTTGTTTTCTCTCTTATGATAGTTTTCATAATTCTTTCCATTTTAGAACAACACAGTTGGCCTTTTCTTGGTGTGAGGGGTCACATTCCTGGAAAACTTTGCTCAGGGCAAACATAATTCTTATTCATTATTTATCATTAAATATTATTTTTATTTATTTAGTTTATTTATTTATATATACAAGTGTTCTTGCGTTCTTGTACAGCCATTAGCACGCATAGCGTTTCGGGGAAGTCCTTAATCCTATGTTTCCCGAAACATGATCCTCAAAATTATTTAACAACCAGGTACCCATTTTACTGTTGGATAAATAGAGGCTACAGTTAAGGATTGACGCCCAGTAAAACCCAGTAAATAACATTTAAAATAGCTACCTGAAAATCATTGTTTAATACCATGTACAGTACAACTTTTCAACGACAAATACAGTGCATAATTAATTGTACTACACAGTATATATTCAAAAAGTACATAAAACACAAGATACTAGTTGTCACAGGGTCAGAGCATACTGTTTGGCTATTGCACCCCAAAACATCTGAAGTTGCATCTCATGCATAGTCAACCTTGAATCTTGTTGTGCTTTTGAGCACATGCAGAGCGAAGGTCAGCTGTACTGTACTGATACTCTTTCTGCCCATGCTCTATAATTTCTTGTATGTAGTTCCTTTTTTTTTTTTTTATATATATAACATTGCCTGTGTATTGCAGTTTGTAGGGGTTTCTGATTTAGGATGTACCCTGTATTTGCATTTTGTTTCTGGCAGTGTTCTTTTAATGTTCTTCCTCATTTTATCAGCTGTGTTACTATCCAAATGCTTTATACAATTTAATTGTCTAAATTTATGGTATACTGTAGTATGATTAGCATTTCTGTAGCTGGGCAATTTAATCCTTTATTTATATATATATATATTTATATATATATATATATATATATATATATATATATATATATATATATATATATATATATATATATATATATATATATATATATATATATATGTCGTACCTAATAGCCAGAACGCATTTCTCAGCCTACTATGCAAGGCCCGATATGCCTAATAAGCCAAGTTTTCTTGAATTAATATATTTCTTCTAATTTTTTTCTTATGAAATGATAAAGCTACCCATTTCATTATGTATGAGGTCAATTTTTTGTTATTGGAGTTAAAATTAACGTAGATATATGACCGAACCTAACCAACCCTACCTAACCTAACCTATCTCTATCGGTTAGGTTAGGTTAGGTAGCAGAAAAAGTTAGGTTAGGTTAGGTAGTCGAAAAAACATTAATTCATGAAAACTTGGCTTATTAGGCAAATTGGGCCATGCATAGTTGGCTGAGAAGTGCGTTCCGGCTATTAGGTACGACATATATATATATATATATATATATATATATATATATATATATATATATATATATATATATATATATATATATATATATATATATATATATATATATATATATATATATATATATATTAGTATATTTTGGTAGCAGTCTTTCCTGTAGACATATATTATTAAATATGACCGAA